TANAACTGTAATCGTGCAAAGTTTCGCGCGCGCGGAGGAGATAGGTTTCGCGCGCGGGTGTTCGCGCGTACACTTTTGTACGTGTTTTTCGTCACGAGTACGTTTTTTAGGTGGATTTTTTCGAATTACGTAGAGGACTACCTTAAACGTACGTGTACACGTACAGTACGTGTACAGTTCGGAAATTCTCGATCCGTGCACCTCGAGGGTGATGTCATCTAACATGCCGTGCAGTTACAGAGCCAAAAACGGCGTCTGCGCGATGTTACAGCACACCGCGCGCTCATCCTTTTCTATCCTTTCTAATATTATCCTTTCGCTGATAGACCAGTTGCGCTAATAAAGCTAACTCGCGAACGTATGGGAACCCTGCTGCATTTTTTTGCCAAAATCGTAGCGCGTAGCACGAGTCAGTTCTAGGATCCCGCATTTGTTTTTTTAATTAATTTCTTGTATGAGCGTCAGTCAGAAAGCTCCCCTCACTTCCGCGCTTCCCCATGCGCCGTCGCGGCGCGGATGGACCTGAAACTTTGCACAAAAATCATTTACGAATTGAGACACCAGATCCATGCATTATGCATGTACTGTAGGCACAGTAGTAGGTAGCTGGTCGAAACAGTGTCGAGAGCAAAACCAACGTTACGGAAGTACGAAAGTACTTTCGGAAGTACTGTACACGTATGTACAGCGTACGTGTACAGCTGTACACGTACTGTACACTTCCGCACGTCACGGAGACTTGAAATAAAACACACACTTCCGTATAATTTTAGAAAAGGGTGGCTCCACTTTATGATAATGGTACGGAATTCCCAACGTGTGATACATGGAAGAGGTGCCGGTATAGGTGATCCCGTACGATACTGCTTGAATATATTTTTGTGAATTGAATAGTTTTCTCAGGTTTTGGTGTTGGATGTGGTTTTGGCGTGGGCTGGGGCTTTGGAGGTCAGTTTCACTATTCAAACTCGAACTCGAATGCAATCCAATGATCTTTTTAATTGCAGGCGGTAACCTGGGTGTTTTTGGGTTAGGAATTGGAGGAGGTTGTGGTGTTGGTTTTGGACTTGGTTGGGGCGTTGGCTTTGGTTGTGGGAGCAAATACATCGACCAGAACTTCGTATTTGAAGAAACAAAGGTCAGGAAAGTGAAGAAGGAATTGCCGCAGGTATGATCCATATCACGCTACAACCCGATCGCGTTTCGGTCGTAAACTGCCTATTGTGAGCAAGCCATACCTTTGATGAGTCTGCTAATCAGATTTTATCCTTCAGAAACACATATCTACAAGTATGATTCAAGGTTTGTTGAAGAACGTTTTGCCCAGGCCAGGCAAGGACGTTGATCAGTTTTAGTGCTGCATACTTTCCTTGGATATATACAGGTTATTCTCGTTCTAATACAAGAGTGCAAGGATATTAACTCGCACATGTGTGCCGGATATTCAATTTACTTGCCTTCTCCCACGAGACGAACTCGGTTTTACTCCAGTTGCATCAACCTGTCAATAGCAGCAAATAGACCAACCAAGCCACTACCGTCCTTGGCGCTCACCGGAACTATTGCAATGGGTGCACAGCCGACTATGTTTCCGTTCAGTGCCTCCACACCAGCACGAATATCCTCCGTGCGAAGAGCGGCCCACTGGAGATCCATTTTGTTAAGTACGAGGATATGCTTTCGCTTGGTGTATTCAGGATTGTACATAAGCAGTTCGTTACGAATTATGGCATAATCACCAACAGGATCCTTACCAGAAGCGTCAACCACTACAACTAATCCTCGGGTGCGTCTGAGGTGCCTTAAAAATGCTCGACCTAAACCGCGGCCTTTGTGGGCACCTGCAATCAGCCCAGGTAGGTCAGCGAGAACGGGCGGCGCAGTGTTGGCTTCGCAAGTCTTTGAGTAAGCTCTAGGGGTTAAAACACTCCCATCAGTAGGTATCACAACGCCGAGGTTTGGCATTAGAGTTGTGAAGGGATACGGTGCAACCTCTGGTGTGGCCCTTGTCAGGGCTCTGAGAATGGATGATTTTCCAGCATTCGGAAGGCCAACAAGTCCAATATCTGCAACGACGCGCATTAGCAGCTCTAACGTGAGCTCCTCACCTTTCTTGCCCTCAATTGGAATCCAAGTCTCAGTGTCGAGCTCGATTTCACCGAAATCAGGGTCATTCCCCGAAATTTTAGATCGGGTAACCTTCTGGTCTCCCTTTCGATTCTGCGGCCGAGTTCGGCGTGCTGCTGTTCCCCCAGCACCCCCCTCTGCCACAAGGAGCGTTTGACCGTGTTTTGTCAGATCTCCGAGCAACTCCCCGCTACGCTTCAGTCTAACTACTGTGCCAGGGGGTACATCAATGAAGATATCATCTTGAGGTGGCGCGATTCGAAGTCGCCCTCGGCCCGGGTTGGCGTGGGCTGCAGCGCTGCCGTGATAACCTTTCTTCGCTTGGAAAACATTGTTCTCGTGGAAACCAAGTAGTGAGTCACAGTGCCGATCAACACGAATGAAGACGTCTCCGCCCTTACCACCATCAGCGGGTTCTGCAGCTGGAAGTTCAATGTATTTCTTCATGTTTCTTCCCCATTTATATTTAAAATTTTTCACAGTTTTAGCCTTTGCGCCCAGCCAAGCTTCCCCGTCACCCCCCTGGCCACCTTTCACGAGAATTGTCGCCTCGTCAAAAAACTTGTGCTTTTCCTTTTCGATAGGGGTTTGGCGCTTGCAGCGGCGCTCTCCTGCACTAAATTCGTCGCCACTCTTGCCCCCCTGCTCAAAGACTTTCTTCAGAACAGAAAAACAAGATGAGCTCATTCCGAAAATCAAACACGTTGCAACGTCAAAGTATACTGGATTCGCACCTCAAACTTATTCGAGGTGTTACCGACGCGAACTTGCTGAAACTTCGCCGGGCCTGTGCGCTCGCGCCTGGTTGTATCTTTCGAATTAACTGCGTCGCGAGCTTGCGCAAAAACAAGGCAGGCAAAAGGGCTCGAAGCTGCGGAAAATCCGAACATGTGTGTCGCGTTCGGGCGAGTGGAGTCCGCCCTGACGCGGATTCTGCGTGTACACGTACAGCTCGCGTTCTTCCGGAAGTACGTGTACGTGTACTGTACTACGCCCTTTAAGCCCTGAATTAGCGTGAATTGACGGAGCTTAAAGGGTTGAACCCTTCGGGTTCATTTCACCCTTAACTCTGTCGCATCAACGCTAATTCAGGGCTTAAAGGGCGTAGGCCTTCCCTATTAAACTTATATATTTGATAAGTGAAAATACTACTACTATCTACTACTAAAAAAAACCAAAAAATGAAAATTGGAAACCTAAGTGAGGTCGCCTCAAATGAAAAAGCATACTAAAAAAACTACCAAAATGAAGATAATATGCTCCCATACGGCACAAACAAGAACGCACCTGGAGCATACGCACGATGTCGGCTTTGCTTTGAGAACAAGGATAAACCAGTTGTGAGGTTCTACTAGTAGTAGATAGTAGTAGTATTTTCACTTATCAAATATATAAGTTTAATAGGGAAGGCCTACGCCCTTTAAGCCCTGAATTAGCGTTGATGCGACAGAGTTAAGGGTGAAATGAACCCGAAGGATTCAACCCTTTAAGCTCCGTCAATTCACGCTAATTCAGGGCTTAAAGGGCGTAGGCACAGTACACGTGTAGCTCATACGTACGTTGCACGGAAATAGAATACTTCCGGAAGATCTACGGAAGTACGGTAACTTACTGTCGATCCAGGGGCAGGTCGCGGTGGTCACGGCGACGACGTCTCCAGACAATGATACGTGCACAATATCCCTATCGAAAGCTAACAACTTACCTTCAAGGAAACGTGGACACTGGTGGGTCTCGTTCAGGGAGGAATTCCGTCCCTTTCCGTGCGAAAAGCCGAGAATTTTTCCCCGATGGACGAGTGTTGAATTTCCGCCGTTTTTCAGCGGAAAATCGGCGAAAAACCGGCGGAAAATCACAAAAAATGAGTACGGAGCGGAAAACTACTCGTTACCAATAGACGAGGTGCGCTAAGTGAAATTCGTATGACGCCCAGTCAGCTGCGTATCGGCCAAATTAACGCCAAATTACGAAGACAAAAATTAAAGAAAACGCCCCCGAAAACGGTCTTCCCGCCTTTTACCCGCCGCGCAAATGCACGTATCTGTTGTTATAAATCGCAAATGACTGCCGTGCAAAGTTTCAGGTCAATTCAAGCTGCGGCGGCGCATGGGGAAGCGCGGACGTGAGGGGGCGCGTCTGACGGACGCTCATACGAATTTGGAATAAAAAAATCGCAAATTAATTTGGCGTTAATTTGGTGACTTAGCGCAATTGGTCTATTGCACATACAGTACTGTACATGTAGGGTAAAATTCTTAAGTTTTTCGCACGGAAAGGGACGGAATTCCGTCCCTGAAAGAGACTAACTGTACAGTCACTTTCCAAACCTCCGACAGAAGCGACGGCTACAAAGATGGCGCCAAGGACGTTTACCTGCATTTGGTTTACAGCCAGGATTTCCGGGTCCTTACTGCAGTAGAAAGAGCTTTCTGTTAACGTGGTCAACTAGAAAACAGTTTTGAGTTAGACGACTCTTATGGCTCCTTACGTTCAGCTCGTGATTGGCCCGGCGGGCTGCGGAAAGGTAAGTAATTGATTGTCATCCAGTTCTTCGTTGGTAACACTAACCCTAAACACTTAACTTAATTGTTCTCTGAGTTAACGCCTTGACTCTTTATTTACGCCTTTCGCAGTCAACCTACTGCAACAGTATTCAACAGCACTGCCAAAGCATCGGCAGGTCCGTGCATGTAATCAATCTGGACCCAGCGGCTGAAGAGATAGCTTATCAGCTGTCTGCCGATGTCCGCGAGCTTATTTCTGTTTCGAATGTTATGGAGGAGATGAAATTAGGGCCAAATGGAGCTTTACTTTTTTGTATGGAATATCTAGAATATTGTATTGATGACTGGTTATCAGAGGTCCTCCAGGGTTACGATGATGACGAATGCGTTCTTTTTGACTGTCCAGGTCAAATAGAGCTTTACTCCAACCACTCTGCCTTCCGCAATATAGTTGAGAGTTTGCATGCGTGGGGTTGGCGTCTAGTTGCGGTTTACATGCTTGATTCTCAATTTATAACTGATGGATTCAAGTTCATTGCTGGTTGTTTGCAGTGTCAGTCGGCGATGATGAGTCTAGAGCTCCCACACGTTAATGTATTGAGTAAAGTTGATGGTTTCGTAGACAAGTCTGTGTTGGACTTATTCCTCAAACCAGAACACATGTTTTTGGCCCATAACTTGCAGGACCCTGTTTGTGGACGGTTTTCTAATCTTACGCGAGCAGTATCTGGTCTCCTAGATGACTATAGTATGGTGTTTTTTCACACACTTGACATTAGCGACGAGCAAAGTTTAGCTGACTTATTGTACACAGTGGTAGGGATGAGTGCGTGCGGCAAATAGTTTACTTTTGTGTAGTTTCAGTTTAATTACTCCACGTCTGTCCTTATTTTTATCAGAATTATGTATCCTCGATTGACTCTTTCGAGGGGATAACACTGTGCAATTCGGAGAATCAACCGATGTCAGGACTTCACGGGATGTCGAAAGCTAGTTTGATGTGGCAAGGATTCAAAGGATGTGATTCAGAATCTGCATGTTTTAATCATGCGCATTTATCTAGCCCCTGCCTCTGAAGGTATATGCAGATTTATAGTACGGAAGTAAATAAAATGTACCTTGGAAGGTACACCTTCAAGTACAATACTTGTACAGTGTATATAAAGTATTTCTGGTAGTGCGAAGGTGTTTATTACATGTAGGGCCTACCTTGTCTACGAGGTATACAGATCAAAGGTACGCTACAGCGTTGCGTTGTGTACTGGCACGCCACTTTTTGTGAAAACAAAACACTTCGAAACTGGCACGCTACCTTCTAAGGTACGTGTACTTCTGACGTCACAAGCCAAATGCCTTTGTACTCGGCAACCTGAAGTGTGGGCAGAACGGGGGCTTTTGGAAGAAGTGCTTTGGAGGTACCTCCGGAAATACGAACTATAGTCACTTCCGGAAGTATAATATTAGCTACATAGACGAGGTGCTACATATCGCAAAATCGTACGAAGGTATGAGCCCAGTCAGGCAAGGTCAGGCAAATTAATTTCGCTACCTTCTACAAGTTATGTACCAGAAATATTAAATCATTAGTATTTTTCGTGATGAACGTGATTTCGTTCTTTCGTTCGTGCCCACGAGCCGTCCCGGCGCGGATGGACCTGAAACTTTGCACAGCTATCATTAAGGATAATAGACGATAGACACCGTCGTTTGCGCGGCGGAAGATCGACGGGAAGGCCGTTTTCGAAACCCTTGCAAGTTTTTTTGAGCTTTTAATCATTTTTCTTGAGAGCACCGACCAACTGAGCCAACCCAGACTAGTCGTCTTTATTTTAGGGGCGTCCTTTAGTGGTCACCCTGATGTTTGTTCAAAGCGGCGACTACGGAGGGATCACAGGGTTGTTGGGCACTGGCCACATGGCGGAACTGTTTGAATTTGTTACTTGCCTGGATCATCGGCGAACCGAACGTATGACGGTGCAGTGTTTGCTGTCTGGTCATTCGCGCATTTGTTCCCGATGGCCGTTACGTATCATAAGTGGCAATCTCAACAACTTGGCGCGCCAGTCCCTTCAGGAATGGCGAGCCACGATAAAATTTATTTGAGAAACCGAAATAAATATTTACTTATATAAAGTTGGCTTGTGTGTATTCTGTGATCACTTTGAATGGATTCCATACATTTGCAAGGTCGCAACATACCTTCGTATGTATTACATTAAATCGCTAGGCAATATTTTTTTTTCAATGCAATTCTTCGCTCATTTTGAAATTTATTAATTGACAGAAAATTTTCGCCAGCTGAGCCTTGCACGACAAAGTGGTCGAATCTTTTTTATCATTGGTAAATCCGCACAAGCATGATCCCTCGCGTACAAAGAAAGCAAAATCGTCGCTTCTGCCTGCGGTGCACTGTACGAAGACATTTGCCAGTCGAGTCTGTTCTGTTGAAAAAGCGAGCTCGAGGTCAAACAGGTCAAGAGCTGGCGGCGGCGGTTCACTAAGTGCGGGAGGGAAAACTGACGGCTGAAGCGGGGGAAGTGGACACTCGAATTGCGGTGCGATCAGACTGAGATTTGCCTTTTCCACCATAAGTCGATTATACAGTTCAAAAGTTTCATGGACGAAGTCGGTGTCTTCCACGTAAACTGTGCCAACAAACATAACAGTGAAATCCTTTGGCTTATTATCCCCTTCCTCAAGAGAGCTTCGTGGTCGTCCAGCTAAATTTACGGTATCCTGCAAGAGAATATACTCGCCAATCTCTAGATCTTCAGCATCTAAATCATACAAATTAACTTTCGAGTCGGTGGCAAGCCACTGCATAATGAAGTCAAGAACACGCGCATTATCTTCACGGTCAAACCAATAATCAGTTGCCATCTTCCCTGAGCCCAAAACTGCTATACGTCCTTTATTTTGACCACGCGATCCGCCCCCATGCCATGTCGCACATACAGGCCTTTGCATGGGATACGCTAATTTACCGCTAGAAAGGATTGTGGCTGCCGGTTTTCGGACCACGAGCGTAGCACCGCTGGGCACGACAAAGGTTAGACCTACATCACCACTTGTGTCGCCAAAATGAAAGGTACTATCATTTGAGCCGCTTGAAATTACGCTCCCAAGTGTCCTCTGTATCCTATCCACTTTACTCAGGATAGATCGTTTAGGCACGCCGTCAAACACGAGTGGCTCTTTGGGGTGAAAAAACGTCTGACGTGAGGTGCTGACCAGCACGTCCCCATTCGTCGATATTCCATATTCTTCGAGCAGGTAATCTATGCTCGTTCCCATTGCGGGCTGACCCCCTTCATCACACAGGAAGAGAATTGCGCCACCACCATGAATGAAATCTTTAAGGGTCTCAAGCTCGGAGAGCGAAAACTTTTCTTGTGGAGACACAAGGATATCAATACCCTCGAGTTTTTCTGCAGTAATAGGACCAGTAAGAGTGGCTAGGCGAAATGTTGCCCGCAGACGACGAAACCATCGAGCAAATCCAGACAAATTGGACTCGGGATGATATTTTTCAGACTCTGTGCAGCTAAACAAGATAGCTGGTCCCCCAGCTTGAACCTAAAAAAAGAACAGAAGGTAAACGTAAAAAAAAGATACAAGGCCATCTTGAGAAAGCATTACCTGAGGGCCGATACGCGAGTTACCGGAACTCTCGCGCATCGCGCTTGCGGAGTAAACCGGTGTCGATTACTTAAACAACTCCCGTCAATCTCGGGTGTACTGGTGTACGAGGTCGACAACTGTGTTCCGAGAGTTCTGTGGTATCCCTCTTCAGCTGTTTCACAAGAGTTTATGTTCAGTTCTACCTTCGTACGAAAGTACTTTCGAAAGTACTTTCGTATGTTTTACCGAAGGTACGAAGATTGATACACTAGTTGTACATGTACAGTATGTTGTAAGTCGTACGTGTACACGTAGTGTTTCTATCTTCAGGTACAGTACTGAGCATATCTACACGTGTACATACAATAAATTACGAAAGTACGTTAGTACGAAAGTACCTTCGAAGATATGATATGTACGTGTACACGTAGGTAATAAATACGAAGGTAGTTTATTGATAAGTTGTTATGGATAGGGCAGTGATAGGGCTAGCTAGCTAGCTGCCTAGCTAGCTACCTTCGTACGAAAGTACCTTCGTAGTCTATTTCAATATCATACGAAGGTACAGTACGTGTCAGTACAGTGCAACTATTTTATCGATAGATTTAAAAAAAAATGACTGTACACGTACAGAAGTTGTTAGAAAGAATACAATAATATGGAATATGTTGATAATAAGTTGTTACGAAGGTACTGTATAAGTTTACCTAAGAACTTGAGGGCTATCAACTTATAAATAATAGCCCTACACGTACACGTACAGTATGAATATTTATCTATCTATCCTAGAAAATACCTTCGAAGGTACGAAGGTACCTTCGTAATTATCTTGTACTGTACGTACGTACCTTCGAAGGTAGCTAGTTCCGTACGTAGAATACGTACGGAACGAAGTACTTTCGTATGATGTATGAAAGTTGTTATTATAAATAAGTTGTTACAACGAACTTACTAGCCCTATCTAGCTAGCTACCATTAAGGTACAGTATCATATCAAAAAAAAATCGTTCGTTTTATAACAACATATCTATGAATGAAGGTATAATAAGTAGTACTGTACCTTCGAAGGTACAACTTGATACTTATACAACGAACTTACATATTTATGTTAAAAAAATAAGTTGTTTATACAGTAAGTTACAATAAAATAAAAGTTGCTTGAAATAATTGGGGCTAGTGTAATAATAATAACAATTGCCGTGATTATATTATGATATGTGAACACGTACAATGAACAACTTACAGTATATATAAATAAATAAATAAATAAAATAATATAAACAACTTTTATCATCGACTATGTATTAGAGTAATGGAATTGTACTTCCGGAAGTTTGGGTGTTGTATCGTGCGTGCACGTACTTCCGTAGGGCATATTAAATGTATTAATTTTTGTGAATAGGGATGGGAATACAACTGGAATACAGGGGACTCAAAAGAATCAGGGCCCTACGAATGAAGTACTTCGAGGTACAACGCAGAAACGTACGTACTTCCAGAAGTAAATTAAATTGTTGATATGCGAGTTCAAAACTCAGCCTTTCACGTTACGATCACCGTATTTCTAGGTAGCCCTATATTGAGATAAATTACCTTGCTTCGGACGTGTATATGTACAACTTCTTCCAAAATGTAAATAAACTAAACTTTACCATCGATACGTGCGTGTACAACTGTACATACACTACATAGCTACATACATATGATACTGTACAGAACTGTATCATACTTTCGAAAGTACTTTCGTACTTTCGTACATATGAAGGTGTGAAATTTCCGGAAGTTCCGTACAGTACGTGTACTGTACGTGTACAAATGAAACATACGAAAGTATTTCCGTACGAAGGTAGTCGCCCTAGTGCAATGCTACGTATTGTAGCCCGGCCTATCTACAAATTGTACGTGCAGTCTACTTTCGTACAACGTTGTACGAAAGTACTTTCGTACTTTCGAAAGTACGAAAATACGAAAGTACTTTCGTACCTTCTTGCACGTCAGTCGCACGTCTATTAAATACCTTCGTACGAAAGTACCTTCGTACGAAGGTACAGTACTGTATCTTCGTAGTCATTAATTAATTGGGAGTTCGGGTTTATCTGACATATTATAAACTAACTTTGCACTTGTTATGGCTGCCTTCCAGATTTAAAAATAATAAATAACACCAGAACTATTCGTGTGGAGTCGAGGACACCTTTAGTATTTCGTGCATGGATGCAGTTTCATCAGAGGATTTCCGGGAGCACGTGTGTGGCTTCAATAAGAAGTTTTCAGGTCAAATACTTCTGTAGAAGGTCATGGTTGACTAGTAGTCACCAACGAACGCATTTGAGACGTGCCCTTAGAGCTGATACTACTTCAGCATCAATTCCACGCTTGTTACCTGCGACAGGAAGGCGTCTGGCTGAGGTTCGTTTTAAATTTGGTACCATTACCCGGCATATTGCGCAGTCCGAAGTGATCACAGGCAGTCGAAGTACTACGACAAGAAAAGATATTGGCCATCCCAACTGCACGTATCTTAGTTTCACGCAATCATCGCCATTTCATCACTGATTTCGCAAGATTACAGGACACCCTTTACGGTCTTGCCGCGAGTGCTTCATCAGAAAATAGCATAAAAGTATATATTTATATCCTTTGACTTGATTATTGAGGTGGCGTGGCAATTCTGAAATCCTTTTTTACCAAAGAAACTTTATGCAGCAAAACAGCGACCCATAACAGTTCCACTCGCGATATGCGTCAGTGACGCCCAGGTATTGAATGCATAACTTTGAAACAGTAGATTACAAAAAAGAATCAGCTGCCCGCTTTTGTGCGCAGGTCATTACAAAATATGCACATACAGAACACCTTGAAATTGGTCTTCTTGAAGTGAATTTTTCTTTTGACAGTCAAACAGTTAAGCCCAAAATTTTTCTCGCTAACACAGGATTTACTTCCCGGTCCTTTCACAATATTGCTTGCGAGGAAGACTGGATCTTGTCTGACTGTGAGTTCACGTCAATTTACCATTCAAGATGTTTCTCAAGCTGCATGCAGACAGTACTTATTCTCACTCTCTGTTTTGCAGGCACACCTGAATCCTGGTTTGACTTTACTGGTAACTCACTTTTTTTAATCTGCATTTCATAACACTGGATATCGGAGGTTCTTCCCTTATGAACTATATGATCGACCTTTACACCTGGGAATCAGAGTTCCGAATTCGGAATTCATCACGGTACCAGACAGAAATGTTTTACGTTACACGTGCAAGCGTGACTTTCTTCTGTTTTGTAGGCCCTGGCAAGAAAGTATGGTCATGCTTTAGCGTTGACTTCTGCCAATGAAAGTGGGTCCAGTAGCACTCTCGCCGTGCACGAATTCGAAGACATTTGGATCGAGGTAAATCTCGGAAGCAAGTCAGGGACCCCTTTTGCGTCTTTGATGTTTTTTGTGCAGTGTGCCGCTGTGCTGGATGGAGGGCAAATATACTCAGGTAATACATGTCTTAAACCTATGTGTAATTGTTTTGAGTTGATGGATGCAGAAAGAAGTGGTTCCACAATCGTTGACTTGTCAACTCCTGGCACGTTACAAAACTAGAAAATTATCTTCATTAATTTTCATTGTTTGCTACCGAGCTAGGCTGAACTGTCTTTTCACAGGTGAATTTTCCATCTCTCGTCGGTATGAGAATATTCATTGTCCCTCCTCTCTTCAATAAATTTGACTATGAACTCCAGAGGTGAAAAATGTGGAGAGTTGCAGGTAGAAAACTGGGTTGTGACCATAAATGCCAGCCAAATATTACACTTTTTTACGCGCAGGAAAAGCTGAAGACACGGTACAAGCTACGACTCCGAACAGCTGAATAAGGCCTGCCCCTATTTGAAGGCTATTACAATCGTGCTGATGTCGAGGTGGGTTCGAGATATTTTGGTGTTCTTTTTTACTTTGGACCTTCAATTCTTCTGAAGACAAATACGAAGGTGCAGCCATGATTGCGCTCAACTTTTCTGCCTTCTTCTGTACTACTAATTAGCAGTGGAACCACTGGATCTTCTTCCAAATCTTCTGTTGAGACACGTTCAAAACAAGGCTGTGAATTGATTTTTGCTGTCATCCAAGAAGCAAGCTCCGCCACGTCAGTGACTGTATAAACACGACCTCCTATAGCCAGCGTGTATGCAAATTCAGCAAGTAAGCTGGACTGGATTATTCTCCGCCGGTGATTTGCAACCTTAAAGTGAGGGTCTGGAAAAAGGAAGAACAGCTTGGTAAGCTGGCCTTTCCTCATGAAATTAGCGAGATTTTTCATCGTGTTAGAACGAACACATGAGATATTATCATATCTCCCTGGTTGCTCTTGTCTCAGCGCCAAGCATCGTCGTCTGACAAACTGACTTACTTTATCCCGTATCTCAAAGCCGAGATTTAGAGTTCGTGAAAAAAAAACAGTGCTTTGCTTTAATGTGAACCGCCGAAAGTAGACTGCGAGCAAAAAAAAGTCGTATTCAAAAAAAAATACCGACTACAAGGTTGCGTGGGAAGAGTTGCGCTAAGCGGATGAGTAACCCTCCAAACCCACAACCAACATCTGCAAACTGAACCAGTGGTTTCTCAGCGGAGTTGGCATGTATTGAAGCACTCAAGAACTCGCGATACTCTCTCTCCCACTTGTACTCTTGAGGTTTGATAGGGCTGCAGTAAATTTCGTGGACATTAGCTCGATGGTAATACGAAGCTAGCGTGACTTTTTGAAATGTTAAGGACAGTGAAACTCTTGAACGGTAACACATAGAAAGACTTATCTAGTCTTAGAGGGAAAACCATATCGAACGAACTCACGTTGGTATGTGCGAATCGCTCAATGGATTGCAGTGCGCTCGCGCGCGGTAAAACTTCTTGCGAGGCAACGCGTTATCCTGCTCGGTAATATAGAAACTTCAAGAATTCGCTCTTGAACCAGCATTTCTATAAAAATCTTCACCTGGTTGTTTACCGCGGCATTGTCTTGCATCTCAATCTAAGTGTGAAACTTCGTTATCTTCGACTGCCCAAGATATCCGGCGGATTCTTTTCCGAACGGAGGCGGAGAATACTTGTCGAAATCGTGCACGCGTAGAGCAATGGCACTGAAGACAGAGTGGCAGTGCACTAGCTAGCCTACGGATGTGCCTTCTTGAAGGTTCGCTCGACATGCTAGGTCTACGTGTACACGTACACGTAGTACTACGTGTACACGTACACGTAGTACGAAGATATGCTACGAAGACTCCTACCTTCGTACTTTCTACCTTCGTACTTTCGTACCTTCGAAGGTAGATATCTAATAATACCAAAGTGTACGCGCGAGCACCCGCTTTTGGGTTTGAGGACCTCTGGGTTTGAGGACCTCGCGTTAGATGATCAGACTGAAATGCCCATACGAATTTCGCGAGGGGCAACTCGGGATCGATGAATAAATAGTCATACGCGTATTGGCAACTCGCGTGCTCGTATGGGCAATCATTCGTAGATTAATACGTGCTCACGTGTTGTGAAGGATCGACATATTTTTTTGGGGCTTATAGAGGTGGCTTACAGTAATAGATATATTTATTATGGAAGCTTAGCTTTTTAGATATCTATTTATGTGGGCTTATCGTTCGATCGACCATTGAAACTTGTATGAGTATTTTCAGTAACTATTGTACACACATAGTCTACAGCTCTACATACACAGTACTTCCGGAAGTACACAACTACACATAGAGGAGGAGGAGGAGGAGGAGGAGGAGGAGGAGGAGACTAGGGGCAGGAGTAGCCCCCAGCCCAATACCATTATCCCGCTACCCCACTACACCACCACTGTACCCCCACTGTGTGCGATGCGAGGTGGCGACAGCTGCGTCGAATAAATAATAGCCCCCGTTCCGGCAGAGCTTCAGGTTGTACAGTCTATGGGCATTTTGTCTGTAACGTCCTATGAGCGAAAACTAGTCTGTCTAGCATGAATAACCCCGTTCCGGCAGAGCTTCAAGTTGAATTCAGAATGCGCGTAGTGAGGCTCCACACACATCACAACTGTACCTGAACATGTCGTCTGCGTAATTCGTCTAGCCTTCAAAATTTGACATATTTGGGGGGAGGCTACCAAGTACACCGATCCCCCTATGGTGCAATAAAATGTTCCGGAAGTAAGAGTTCCGTACTGTTGTACACGTAGTTGTACGAAGGTATCTATCTACCTTCGAAGATATAGATATTGTTGCTGATATCGATATTGTGGACATCTCGGGCATATTTCGTCGCCACAAAGACCCCACCTGCCACCGCAGCCTCTCGAGCTTTCTGCATACACTCTTCCGCGCATTTCAAGTACTTTTCCCTCAGCTTTACGCGCTTGTCATCTTCATCATCCCCTTCAGATTGTGTAGCATCCGGGGCTGGCGCTTGCGAATCATCCACTGCTGTGCGATTGGCTATCCTCTGCGAAAGTTTCCGTAACCTGTGATCATATTCGAGACGTAGACGAAAAAAAACGCGTTAAAAATGGTCATCTTGGCTTGTGAAAGACGCGAACCAGCGAGGTGAGGATTGGTGCCAACAAAGAAAAAGAGTAGTTAACAAGATCTGGGTGTGCCTGGTACGGGAAACGCGCCTTTGGCTATCCATATCAGCGTTTCACGCCGAAATTTTTATAGAGACGATGTCGATTAGCCACGAAAGGTGTTTGCAGCTTTTAAACCGAAGCCGCGGGCACTAGCATGCGCCCTCCCAGCTCGCGCGCGCGGAATGTGACCTCGCACTCAATCTTCGGCTCGAAAAACGCGGTGGACAGGCGAATTTCGAGCCGAAGATTGAGTGCGCAAAACGAAATCTCACTGTTTTTCCCTCAGGGGAATAGTGAGTCACGTTACAAGGAACGCCAAACGAGGTTCTTTAGGCGAATTCCGCACTTTCCGCGATCGCGAGGGGCGCGCGCGCCAGGAATGTGACTCTTTCAGGACAAAAGTTTTCGGTTGGACAAAACTAATTCTATTCGATACCTTCGTATTTCCGTACTTCATTCGTTCCTTCCGTGCATGCAACGTTAGTTGTACAGTACGTGTACGGATGAGTCTCCGATGTGCAGCAAGTCACTGTAAAACTTGACTTGCTTTGCTGTAGTTGTACACGTACACGTACGTGTACCTACGCAGACCAGAATGCGGTTTTTCAGTCGCGTTAAGCTTTTGATCGGCTTTGCGATGAAAATATACTTTCAAACTTTTTGATCGGAATCCCCGATCGCTTTGATCGGGTCTTTGGTCGGTCGACATGTCCCACAATGGGACATCTGAATGCGACTGAAAAACCGCATTCTGGTCTGCGTAGACAGTATGGCTACGGCTACAGAATGTGTACTACTTTGGGAACTTTATCGTTTCGACAAGCTACTCTTTAAGGTCCTCAACATAGATACCTTTACACTTCCTTCGGAGTCGACCCCGCCTACGAACGCCAATTGCACATTGCGAATTGCCCTCTCCTCTATCGCGACTGAGCGCTTGTTGGCAGGGGTAGCACAACAGAAACTTCTAAATCGAGATCAAGAAATACGCCTTTCAGGCGCTTGCTGATGACTGTCGACTTTAGGCACTCGCACGAGGGTTTAGGTTGTGACTTTTCGCCAGTCAACAACGTAAGTTCATTCCTGTTCGCATTCCCATTTCGCCAACAGCTTGGAATTTTCCTAGCATGTCTGGTCAAGCAACCGTAAAGGTTACCCTTCTGAAGATATGCTCGCAGACAACAAAGTTACTCCATCGTGACAAAGGGTTTTTCCGGCAAAGTCCAGGATGCGAAGTTGTTACAAAGTCAAACACAAATCATTCACGTGCGGAACGTTAACTTTCAGATTTGTTTTAATTTTTTCGTTTAGCCGTCGCATATTTTGTGGACGCTTTTATTCATCAGTCTGTTGTTGCGACCCTGGGTGTGGATTTCATACCTGATTCTTTCCAACGTCTACAATTTTTTGATGATGATGGGGTAAACGTCACCCCGAGAGCTTTGTTGAGAAAGGTTCGTGCAACATGAACATATCACTATGTGGGGGTTTTCCCAGGAAAATGTTGGCGACAGTAGGCAACCTCAGTTAAACTTTCCACAGAGCAATATGGTAAAGAATTCAACTGTGCAAGAGTTTAGCAAGTCACTTTGCCTAATCAGTGCCTCAGAAAACAGTGAGGTAGCCAGTTCCGAAACCACCCAAATCAGGTTTATTTACTTCTGCTAGCTTATCGTTTACATGTTCTGATGAGCATTCTCTTTTTTTTCTTGCAGTCCTGACGACAAATCCCAGAACGAGCTGTCAAAATCTTCATTTTTTTTAAGAAAGGCTTCAGAAACACGTATATCTCTTTTCGAATCGGAAAACTTGTGTTTCTTTTCCCTCCTTGGAAACTGTATTTTGCGGGAGAACCCATCTGGATCGACTGCTTTACATCACAGCTCAGCACATGAAGCGAGGCATGCAAGTGAGCTGCGCACTGATGTTCAAACTCAGACAGTTACTGTCTTCACAACATCAAAGGAAGCACAGCACGTATCCGGGGTCTGCACTACACAGCAGTGCCAGGCTGATGTTTGGATAATGCAGGAGTCTATGCTTGAATATCGTTTGAACGTGCGTGTTCTTTCTTTAATGCCGCTGGGAGTTTTGAAGGCTTAAAAGTTTTTTTATTCTGCAGGGAACTGACCAGGTGTTCAGTAAACATATAATAAATTTAGGAGACTCCATTGCTGGCAATCTCGCTATGGGCACTTGTTCTTTTATTACGCACTCTTCACAGCTATACACAGCTCTGAAGATGTTGGAAAAAGTGATTTTGCAAAATGTTTACCATGAAAAGTTACTAAGCTATCGCGATTATAACTTTTCCAAGGTTGGTGAAGTCCACATCATCGCAAAATTGAAATCACACACGTCTTCTTTGTTTCCAGGATACAGAACAGGAGTTGATTCATCTATGGAACTTCGAATGTGCACTGACGGATGAGCGCAACGTCTCTTGTATGACCTGGAATAAGATAAAGCCTGATATACTTGCAGTAGGCTATGGTGAGTCAAACTTTACTCTTCAGCGTGCTGGCTTGGTAGCGTTTTGGTCTCTCGAAAACCCAGAGAGTCCTGAGTGGACTCTCAGTACTCACGTTGGAGTCACTGCAATGGCATTTTCCTCTTTAGACTTCAACTTGCTTGCTGTTGGGCTTTACGATGGCACGGTCTCCATCTACGATGTCCGTTCTCCAGCAGATGAAGCTATTTTGGAGAGTGGGCATGGTACACCAGGAAAGCATAGTGACCCTGTCTGGAAACTTTGCTGGACAACACACGAGTCAGATCAAGAAGAAACCATCACTTCCATATCAACTGATGGCCGCGTGGCACGCTGGAGCTTCAAAAGGGGACTAAAGTACCATGATTTATTAAGAATTAAGCACACCAATAAAAAATCAACAGCAACAGCTACAAGCTCTAGTAAACTATCTACTCACACAGATGCATGTATAAGTCGACATGGAAGTGGGACATGTCTAGATTTTTCCTCAAAGAACTCTTCGGTGTATGTTGTAGGTACAGAGGATGGGATGCTGTACAAATGTTCCTGTTCGCATAGTGAACAGTATTTGCAGAGTTACTACGGCCACAGTGGGCCTGTTCATCAAGTTAGATGGTCACCATTTGCAAGTAATATTTTCATTTCTGCTTCAGCAGACTGGACCATAAAGCTGTGGGATGACGCAAGGTCGTTTCCAGAGTTTACTTTACAGTCGGGTTGCCATCAAGTTTCAGATGTCTGCTGGTCGCCGATAAATTCTACGGTATTTGCCTCAACAACTTCAAGCGGGAGATTAGAAGTCTGGGATCTATCGGTATCTACTCTCAAACCGGCAGTGTCATCAGATGCTTTCAATGAAAAATTGACATGCCTGTCATTTGCTAATACCTCGACTATAATTGCTGTTGGTGGACAAAGCGGAACTGTGGGTGTTTTCCGAGTTCCAGGAGTAAACGTGCCAAATTGCAGTGACGGTATTCGATTGAGGGTGGCCTTGTCAACTAACTTCTAAGTCTTGTGTACTTTACGTTTACCCAGTATATGGTTGCCCCTAGTAATATCTTTGATGTTTTTGTTGTCGTAGTCAATCTTTCTCAAGAATCTCACTTTGGCACAGATAACTTTTTCTCAAGTTTCTGGTTTAAAAGTCTTCCAGGTCACAGGTCACGATCCACTTAAGAACATATTTCAAATAAAAAAATGTGACTTGTGAAGTTACAGCCCAACGTAAATGTGCTGATCTCAAATTCATAGAAACAGTGAACTCAATAGCTCTATTTTAGTTAAATCAGAGGTTTTCTTCATCACATACATTACGCACTACAAGTAGATGCACCCGTACAGATTCAGTAAAGAGCAGGATAAACTTCATTCAGGCAGAGAGGAAGACAGGCCAATAGTTTGAAAGATAGCGCAAGATACTTACCATAACGGAGTTGGTAATCTTCAGGACAACGTGTCCTTCAGCATGACGATACTTCAGTATATAGCGAACCTAGCGTTTTTTTTCCTTAGAAGAGGTCACTAGTTCACTCGGGACACATTCTCACCCGGCCGGGATCAACGTGAAAAAGTGCTGACGCCTTTTCGTTGAAGTCCTCAAAGTTTGCAGCGCAAAGAATTCTCGAATGAGAGCATGATGAATAATCTCCTGAGGATGCCATCAGGGCAACGGCTCGGAAGAACACAAAACTGAGAATATTTCGTCCTCAGAATTCGGTTCCCGCGGGTGGGAGTCCCGTGGGGTTAACTGTTCATATCCTGCAAGACAATAAAATAGGCCCTAGTAGCTAGCTAGTAGCTACCCTACACGTGTACGAATAAACTACCTTCGGAGGTACTTTCGTACTTTCGTACTTTCGTACGTGTACTTTCGAAAGTACTTTCGTACTTTCGAAAGTACCTTCGTAGTACAGTACGATAGTACGCGAAAGTACGAAAGTACTTTCTACGAAAGTACGAAAGTACGAAAGTACCTTCGAAGGTAGCCCTAAGGTATGCAGCGTTGCACTGTACAGACGGAAGTACGGAAGAAGTACTTCCGTACTTCCGTACTACGTCGACCCAACGGTCACCTACCTTCTACCCGGACACCTCGGGTCACTTTTCCCTAACCAGCCTCTATCTGGTTCCATTGTCGTTATTACATAATGTGCGCATAATGTACGTGTACTGAATTGTAGTAACTCCGAGAGATAGATAAGCTCAAGGTTCTACCTAGCTAGCTAGCTAGCTACTTTCGTACTAGATTAGCGCCTCCGCCGCGCGTCGGTAGTTGGGAGAAGGGGGCAAGGCGCGGCAGTGTATTTAGTCTGAAAAGTACAAAAGTTCGTGTATTGGTTTGAAAATGGTTTTCATCGGAAGAGTTCATCATCTAGTCCCGTGGCACGTTTTTGCATACGGGGCTCCAAACGCATTTGATAGGCTGAAATTTTCGTACGTAGGTCCGGGAAAACCCCTAGCCCTCGATGGGAGAAGGTAAACCTTCTCCCAAATAGCTCACTAGTACACTTAATGTCACCTAAGGCACGCTAAACGGCGTACTTTAGTAACTGGTATCGGCTATTTTGCGTTCGAATCCCGTTCAAGCTTGTTGACAAGCTGAACAGTGAACAGTTAATGTTCAGTCAACGATTTCGTTGAATGTGCGTTGCGTTATGCGACGCGGATAAAACTGAATAGTAGTAACTCCGAGAGATAGATATCTCAAGGTTCTAAGGTACGAAGGTAGATAGCTCACTGTGTGTAGATATTATTACACAAAAACTGAGCTCTAACCCATCCGGGCAAAACATGTGAACATCAGCGAGCAACCTAGCGAGAAAAAGCGACCGGGAGTCGCTGAAAAAACTCGCGAGGCATCCCTTGGAGTCCTCCGACGGCATCATCCAGGGGGTAGTGCATCTCATCCGACGAGGCGGCAAGGTCGCGAGCGAAAAAAGGGCGGGAAAACGCTACTTCGACGTTGCTGCGGCGCTCTCGGAGGAGGGCATCTGCATCTTCTTCACGCTCACCTGCTGTGACGCGTGGCATCCCTTGGAGTCCTCCGACGGCATCATCCAGGGGGTTAGCTCACTACACGTACACGTGTACACTATTGTCACAATGGCACGCAAAACACTGTACTGTACTTTATTCTAGTGTACGTGTACGAGTACCAGTAGTGTACTTCACGGAGACTAAGAAATACACACACACGGTACAACGTTGCACAGAAGCTACCTTCGAAGGTATTTGCCTCGTCGCTACCTTCTACTTTCCTAAGCCGGTCTTCTACAAACGATGGTGGCTGCGCTGACGACGTTTGGTGCGTTAAACACATCGTCGTGTATCCAACGCAAACCACAGCGTGTGAACTACCCTGCGCTATTCGGTAGGTGCACCACTTCTTGCACAAAAGCCGAGGTGTACAGTGGACTTGTCATATGCACTGCAGTTGAATCTGACAACCAACACGCTCCTTCATCTTTGGCACCAAGGGTCGATAAGGTCGATTGTGGAATATGGAATGAAACAGATGAAGAGCTCGTCAGACGGTCAAAGAAGGATGCTGAGAACGCGTACAACATGTCCCTGCTCCCCGTGCGTAGTCTCGACGAATTTCTGAAGTTGACTGGTGTAAAAGAGGAAAAGCTGTCAAATATGGCTGCAAAACGTTTCAACCTCCTTGGGCTAACACTTTCGGAGTTAAAACGGTTTTCCGCTGACATTGGTCTTCCAGCATATCGTGGCAAACAGCTGCGTGATCACATTTATGCTGGACCTCCCGTACGTTACATCGACGATCTCGTCTCGCTTCCGAAGGCGACACGTGCTGCACTGCTGGCTGCTGACGTGCATATCGGTCGATCATCCGTCCATCATGTCGTCGTTGATTCCGATGGCGTCGTTAAGCTTCTATTGCGACTCGGGGATGATAAGGTTATCGAGACTGTAGGCATACCATCCTTAGAGAGAGGCAAGGACCGACTCACGGCGTGCGTCTCCTCCCAGGTAGGTTGCCCAATGCGTTGCACGTTCTGCGCAACAGGCAAAGGAGGCTTTACGAGGAACCTAGCACCACATGAGATTGTGGATCAGGTGTTATCGTTAGAGGAACACTTTGGAAAACGCGTCACCAACGTTGTATTCATGGGTATGGGTGAACCTCTTCTGAATACCCCAAACGTATTACGGGCGTATACTGCTTTAAACACAGAAATTGGAATTGGGGCGAGACACATAACCATTTCTACGGTAGGGGTGCGTGGATCACTACAGATGCTAGCCGGTGCCCGACTGCAGAGCACCCTGGCAGTATCGTTACATGCTCCTAATCAATCACTCCGCGAGGTGCTCATACCGAGCGCCAAGTCATATCCGCTGGGTGAGCTCTTGAATGACTGTGAACAGTATTTCATTGCAACCGGTCGCCGTGTCACGTTTGAGTACACTTTACTGGCTGGGATCAATGACTCCTCCGAGCAAGCTGTGGAACTGGCAGAGTTGCTACACAAGAAAAAGCTTGCTTCACACGTGAATCTCATCCCATACAATCCAGTGCATGATGCACCAGATTTTGCGAGACCAGATCGAGCCACTGTTTTCAAGTTCAAAAACATTTTAGAAGAGATGCAAGTGCCTGCCAGTATACGACAGAGCAGGGGACTTGAGGCGGCAGCTGCCTGTGGTCAGTTGCGCAGCTCATTTCAGAAGATATCACCTGAAATGTCAGATTAGTCAGGCTAGCCCTTTCGATGACAAGATTAGCTCATCTAGCAAACGTTTTCAGTATGAGCAATTTTTTGGTTATTTTTTCTTCCTTGCGATATAGTTCACCTCGCTGATGATGACAGCGTCTAGCATGACAGATTCCCGTAAGTCCGCGCTCACATTCAACCAAGCAGGATCTTCTGGCTACATGTAGTATCGTAACTGATAGATACTATTTTTGTTGCTAAAAGTTACTTCCGTATTTTGTTACCTTCGAAGGTATATGGCATGTACCTGTACATGTACATACACATACTGTACGTTTGTAAGTTGTCTGTACGTTGTACGGCTGTACGTTGTGCGTGCATGATTGTACCTTCACGTACTTCCGTATTTCCGGAAGTACTTCCGAAGTACACGCATGTCAGATTCCCACAGTTACACGACTACATGTACACGTACATCCATGCTAATAAAATACAAAATATGAATTCTATATTCGTAGGTGTGCGGACGACTTTAGTCTTCGGAAGTATAGATAGCGTGGAAAGTAGCGTGCGTGCATTAAGTACTATCGGAAGTACTTTATACGTATTGATTGATGTGATTGATTGGATGTGATTGATGATACTTTTGTACAGTACATTATTGTAGTGATCCGGAAGTATCACCGACGTTGCATATGAATATACCTTCGTACTTTCGTACCTTCGAAGGTAGTTGTTATTATAACATATCATACATAATTCCGGAAATATTTAATGTACCCTGTACCTTCGTACGTACGTACGAAGGTACCTTCGTATTTATTGCCTTGCACGACGTATTAAGGACCTTTTTAAAAAAGTCGCTGAGGGGTCCGAAAACCGTTTTGTAGGCCTCTAAAACTCGCGAAACTTTGATAGGGTATCATCGACATGATGGACAACATCGTGACAAAGTTTCAAATCAATCCGCGCAGCGACGGCGCGTGGGCGCGTACGAAAGTACGTTTTTGTCATCTGTATGCGTATTTAATTTAAATTTCGTACTTTTGGCACGGGAAATTTAATTAGCGGACCGTGACCTTAAGATAGATACCTTCGTACGAAGGTACCTTGCTTGCTTGCTTCGTACGAAAGTACTTGTAGCCCTCGCAGTGGTACTTCTGCGACTGACACGTAACGTGTTCGGGCTTATCACTGGTTTACACTGGACTTTTCTTGCTGCTTGGTTCAACTTTCGGAGATGTCAAGCGAAAGAAAGCTGAGGAGTGCCCTTGAAACAGTTTGTGTCGAACATTTTATCTTTTCAAGGTAATTAACTTCAAGGTGTTTTTCTCTGCTTTGCCTGTTTCTGTACTGACAAACTCGAGTTCAGAGAAGCAGCAACATTGAACACTCAAGAAGTGCGAGCAATTGCTCGCATTCAGAGTCAGTGGCGCTCCTACTCGATACGACAACAATTTAAGAGGTTAAAGATTGCAAGTCTTCGTATACAAACATGTTTTCGCGGCTTCTGTGGCAGAAAGCGAGCGCACAGCTTCTCCTTAGAGGCAAGCTGTCTTTTTTGTTGACTATGCTTTGTTTTACACGAAACACTCCACGATTTCGCTTAAATGATGTGTAACTCTGTTGCATGTGCAGCGCAGTTAGCTTACGTTGAAAGGCTGAAGCACTTTCATCGAGCTGCAACGGAGATACAGAAATGCTGGAGGGGAAGTTCGAGCAGACGTCGAATCCACGATTTCTTCAGTCGAAAGTTTTATCTACAGTCTGTTTTTGTTCTCGATCAAGATTTTCGGCAACGTATGTACAACCGTTATGATAACATAATGGGCTGCCAACTTCGAAGAGAAGTAGGTGTTTTTATTTCAATTTGCAGGAGCCTTTCTTATCATAATTCCTTTTTGGCTTTAGACTTCTTCTCGCATGGTTGACTCCAGTGTGCATCTTGCTTCAACAGAAGTTTGCCTCGGTGTTTACGACTCACCATTCTCACCAGCCTTCGATAATCGATATTAAGCTGTGCAGTAGTCTATGACAGGCACGCGTCTTCATCTGGATCCTTCGCTTGATCGAATTATTAGATAGGAGTAGTTTCGAAAGTACAGTTTACTTAATCTGAACAATTTTATGTTCTCTGGGCCATGCGTACAGCAGGACGAAAATGTTTCAGAGTTCAGAGGCATCATAAACTTGGCGAAGCGCTAGTAAAAAATTACCATCTTCTACATGCGTCTGCCTTCGAAGATAGCCTTAGTAGTGTATTCTCAATTTAATTCTTAACCTAAAGCCTATAGCAATCAAGGTTTCAAGGTGTAGACTGCACAACATCGTACTTTTAAACAAATACTACGAAAGTAACTTGTATGGAGGTACAGAATACGATATTTGTATTTCTGGTAAATTTTTCCTTACTTGTCTCTACGTGTAACCGAATCATAGACAGTAAGACCACCAGTATACGATCGAACCAGATATGCAGGAATGCAGTAATTGTTTCTTTTTCAGAGGGGATTGGAGGGGGAGGGGAGAGATATTGGTGACAGTACTGAAGAGGTATCGATGATAGGTTTGAAGGGAGAGTGAAGTCAGGAAAGTCTGCCTTGCCATGAAATACTTGATCGTCGGGTAGCCCTGCACGCCCATCTTCTGGCATGTCCCTTGACCGCCTGCAGTGCAGTCTACGTCGACGATGAGAACACTGTCGTGAGTACTGCCGTAGTGCGACCCCAGATCGTCCCAATCTTGTTTCATAGAATTACAGTGTCCTCACCGCGGCGTGAGGAACTTCACAAAAGCGTTCTTCCCAGAGTTTAGCACCGCGGTTTGGAGAACGCCAGATCTCGCGTGGACGGAATGAGTAGACAAATACAAATACATACACCAATAACTAAATGCAGATAATGCATCTTGTCGAAGCAGTGCACAATATGGGCTCATTGAAGAGTGTGAACTTGTGTATCTCAAGATACAACGCGTTACATAGACTAGTAAATGTTATGATGTGGACTTATGCGACGCTGGCAGCTTGGAGAGATGTTGTACAACTCTTACATCTGAAGGCGGTGGACCAGGCGGGAGCGGAGGCGCTCCTCCTCCAACTAGTCTGCATGTGCGTTGTTCACTTTTCTGCTTAGTTAAGTCCAAGTGGTGCCGCTGCAGGTGTGAGGGAGCACCATGCAGATGGCCAGGGCGACCAATCAAAGCCGAATCACTTATCGAAGGGTGTTCACTAGAACTTCGGGGATGCCGATATCTACAGTTCGGTCCATGGATGCAAAAACCGAGTTTAAACATGTTGCAGTCTTTAACATCCTCTAGAGAATGCTTAAAGGGGCAATCTGGTTCCTTGCATTCGCTGTATTTGGCAAAAAAACGACAAGTAGGCATTCGTTGCTTATCAAATTGGTGCAAGAAACCACAGTGGTTGCCTTTCATGCACAATCCACGAAGCCAGTGACGGCATACGGTCTGAAGGGAAAAAGAAAAAAATCGTTGAACGTCTAGAAAATCAGAAATGCTGACAGTACACTCGCTGCGTCAAGGATGTATGTACCTGGCGATAATTTTTTCGGGCGTTCTCAGGCATTGATTGCGGCGCCTCTTCTGGTTGTTCCAGGTCAGCATTCAAATCATTTTCAAAGTCGAACTGAAATTCGAGGTCTTCCATTGTGTGAGAACAACTTGCGACGCGCTTCGTAGTTTCCTCGTCGTTCACATTTTCTTCAAGTGAAGTACACACTACACAAGTACACATGTGCCTGGGCTTAATATCTACTGTAGCTCTTGTACCTTCGTAATATCTAGCCCTTGTATCTTCGTAATTCGTTCGTATCTTCGTTCTGTACGAAGGTAACGTGTACGTCTACAACGTACAGTACAACATTGTTATGTACGAAGGTACTTTCGTACTTTCGTACGTAAATCTGTACGCTATTATCCACATGCATTTCTTTTTTACCTTCGTACGAAGGTAGTTCACACGTACGAAAGTACGAAGGTACAACGTTGTACACGTACACGTAAGTTGTTACTGTAAATTGTACACGTACGGATATTTATTTGATATTTCGGGGAAAAGTTTATCTTTTTACAGTTGCTGGCTGTAATAAGTCAGCTTATCTCACACTCGCTGTACAACACGAACACCCCTAATATTTGGCCGAAAGCGTAGCGTACGTAGTCACTGCGTTGGCCCTAGTTGTCAGGGCCTGGGCCTACATTCGTATACTGTTGTTTTACAACCTCTGCTTGCAGTAGTCTTGCAGTGCTCTCAGCCCTTTAAGTCGAGCTTTGAGCGTGCGACACGTCATCATTTCATACATCATTTCATACGTTTTTAGCTTTAAAAGCGCGCTCCTATTGGCTTGAATGCCTCGGGGCAATCAGAAAAAACACGTGGCAACTCGAAGGCACTCGTATGAATCGAAGATACAAGATACACACTACACGGTGTACAGCTGTACACGTACTCTAATCTACACGTACTGTACACGTACGTACACGTACAGGTATATTTTCGTACGAAAATAGACACGGAAGTACTTTCGTACGTTGTACTTTCGTACTCACGTACCTTCGAAGGTACGAAGGAAGTACGAAAGTAATCGCAATACAATAATAACGCCACTGGCTCAATCCTTGTATCCAAAACAATATGCGCGCACCGTTGCGCTCGTCACCGACCTCGGGAACCGCATCTCTGGCGCGCCCATCTCGTACGCGCTCAGCAACGCATGTGCACTTCACGCCGCCCCGGCACAGCAAGCTTGCGACGCTCGTACCGGAATCATGGACCGCATCGTGGAGTTGATCACTGCGTGAGAGGCTTGCTCGTACTCTCCAACGTGTTTTGTCCTGACGGGATCGAGCTGAGTGATTACTCGTAGCCTATCAACTTTTACTCATATCGGATATGAAGGTGTCGATAGTGTATAGCTGTATACAGTACATGTACAGCTACTTCCAGATGTGTAGGGCTACACGAGTGCTACACGTACATGTCGGCAACACGCACTCGCTCTCGCGCTGTTGTACTGTACCGGTTGTACTTCCGTACGAGTTTATGTGTACAGTACGTTGTACTGTACCTTCGTACACGAACTGTACAGTACACGTAAGTTTTAACAACTTACGTACGCATGATTCGAACAGAATTCGAACATTGTGTACGTGTAGTGTGTACGTGTACAGTACGTGTAGGTCGTGTACGTGTACTGTACCTTCGTACATGATCAGATAGAGGACTAAATCTGGTGTAAATAGGTGTACAATGGTGTACACTGTACACTGTACAGTAAATAAATACCTTCGAAGGTACGAAAGTACTTTCGTACCTCGGTACCTTGGTACACTGTACAGTATGATACCTTCGTACCTTCGAAGGTACTCTATCTACTTTCGTACGAAGGTACCTCGGTATGATACCTTGGTACAGTATGATAAATACCTTCGTAAAATGACAACTACGAAGGTACCTTCGTACGAACGTGTACGAAGGTATGTACGAAGGTACGAATAGTCTAATATCAATACTCAGTTGTCCCTTCCTTGCAAACAGACGACAAGCTGCAGATGTTCTTTCTAGCATCCAAAGCGCCGGTGCTGGCGGTGCGTAGAGAAAACTTTGCAGGCTCGTATCGATGGAGCGGCGGAGGTGCGCGGAGGCCCCCGGGACGAGCAACTTCTGGAGGAGCAGCGACCACGAACAGCGATGCCTCCGGCGTAGGGGACGCTAACAAGATACCAGCGTCGAATTTCGGCATACTTCAGCACGAAAATATGAATGAATCTGCCTTCGACGATTCGAAGGTGGGTACGAAGCTTCCCTCAGGGTGCTTTGATTCAAGTGATGTACAGAGGACGACAACAGAAAGCACGGCAGCACAGGGGCAAAAAAGTAAGCGAACGGTCCGACGCCTCAAGAAGAACGCGATGGTTACCGCTGTAGCTGCGGGACAAAAGCTGCAAGCATCCGAAATTGAAATCACGACGCATGTTAGAAATGAGCGCAGAGAGAGGGAGCAGTATGCTGCAGACAAATTCAGAAAACTAATCAAACGAAATGCTGTCACATGTGCTGATGAAAATAAGCGAAAGCCAGTTGCAGGTATTGAAAACGTGCGAACTCCTAGAAGTAATACTGAATCTGAAGGGTTGGAACTCGGTGTTCCGGAAATCTTAGAAGATGAGACGCCTGGGCAAAGACTACGGAGACTGTTTCAGGAGAAGCGTGCACGAGGTTTGAATCGTCTCCGAGACAAATTTGCGGAACAAATAGTAGATGAGCTGTCTGCGAGTCAAACAAACTCTGTTTCAAGCAGTGGGGCAAAGCCTCAGGGTTTGCGAGAAGGAAACACACGGCAAGATGCTGGAAAACCAGATGATAATAAATCAGGAGATGACTATCAAATAGCCAGCAACCAACCACCTGACAACAGCATTGACCCATTCAAGTTAATCCCTGGTGAGTACATTGTCCACCGAAAATATGGGATCGGAAAATTTCTTGGCTTCCGGAGAATTACAGTTGGCGCTTCGAATATAGCTGGCGGTAAGGATGAACCAAAGCCCCGCATCGGATACCTGTTTATAGAGTATGCAGACCAGCAGGCCAAAATAAGACCGGAGAAAGCTCGAAGCCAGCTCTACCGCTATTCCTGTCCAGGGTCATA